TCATCCCAATGGAAATAGATATTACGTCTACTCCATCTCTAACTGCATCATCAATAGCCTTCAATGGTGGCACCAGAGCAACCAACATCCGAGCATGCCTTGTAACACGCAATCCTAGCTGACGGTGAGCCTCCCCTTGCTATACCTTGTGCTAAGCCATAATAACTTGCATTGGGAACTTGCACACCGGCTGCTATGGATGTAGTGTGAGTTCCATGGCCAAAAGAATCTCTTGGTGAGCCATTTGTACTGGCTAAATGGCTCTGGTTACCGTTTGTTGTCAGCGAAACATTATAGTATCTTGCACCTATCAACTTTCTGTGACAAAAAAATGTAATGAAATCAAGATGTTGTATCTTACACATCAACTGTTAAATAATCTCCGAAACATTCATTTGAATCCCTCTCTTTCTCTCTTTAGTTTTCTCATTATAAGCCAGGTGAAATAGCGATTAACACCATAAATGCAGTGTTTAGATAGAATGTGAGACAGTATAATCACCTATTACAATTAGATTTCTTAAAGTCAGAGCCTTCCATACAGACTCCTTTCCATCTTGAAGGAACTGCACTGATTCCCTTGTCACTGAAACTCGGAGACTCAGGCCATATACCTTAATCAACACATTAAACTTTCAAAATTAGTCTACAGAAATGGAATTGCTATGGAAAAACTTATCTTATAAAGTACGCGATACACAAATAGGATTATCATCATAACATATAGGAATTTGGAATTTGACCATGTAGTCTGTGAAGTAGCCATTGTTTTAACTTTTTTGTTAGTTTATGGAAAACAAGAACATCAGTTGTTCCCAAGTTCTTCTCCACAAACAACGTCGTTTTATTTCATTTTTCCAATACAAATCCTAAATACTAAACCAAACCTGAATTAATTAATCTTTAAACGCATACGAACAAAGATCAGCAGAGGATCCTATTTCTGTTTACATGTTCTCTGTTTTTTTGCTTTACCTTTTTATTTGGACCTTCATATACACATTATACCATAGAAAGAGAAACAAGATAAAAATTATCAGTGGCAAAGAAACTAGAGCAGAAGGATGAGGAATTACCTGTGTCTATCATCCCAATTATAACATCACTTGATGGTCGCAGATACTCATTCTTCCATGCCCTGACAGATTTCGGATCCAAGAAATCCCAAGAACGTGTTGTATGTAGTTGGAGTATTGAGTCGGGGAAGATGGAAACAATACCATCATTGCCTGCATGTTGCAGAATGGCTTACTCTTTTTTTCAGATTTTCAATATGTACATTTACTGGAGTTAAACTTAAGATATTCCACTTACAAATGGAAGCGTACTAAACTACAGCGAATGTTGCAATGTTAAAACATCTCCATCCCATAATAATATAGTTGATTGACTAAATGGGTTGTCTATATGTTTATTGCAGTTAATTGACTAAATGACCTAGGTTTAATTGATTTTTTATTTTGATATGTTATATAACCTATTCCGATAATAAGCAGTGAGTTTTGTGAATCAACCACAAAGATTTTTTATCGAGAATTCCTACTTATTCTTCAATAGCCAAGTATTATTCCTCAAATAACTTTTTAGATAGCTAGTGAAATGTTTTCAAAGCTAATTTGACAATGAGTTTTATTCGAGTTATAAAAGAAATAGAAGCTTTTAGTAACACGTAAACGATGACGATGTAGAGATTTTAAGGTCTCATCTCAATATTTTGCTCACCCGCACAATTGTTCATATGAAACAGTTGAAATTTAACTAAAATTTTCAATTAGTTAAATCCAAATAAAAGAAATATGTGAAGAAATTTTTTCACTCATCTCGTTTCCTCAACCTCCAATACAAGAAGGGCATAGGCCCAAAAGAAAGAAAAACTAGTCTAGGTTGTTCTTGGGCAGCAACACCTATGAACACGCTACTCCTGAGGGAGCTCCAACATAATCAAGCCCAAATCAAACAACCCCATCTTCAAATATTTCGGAAAAAAAAAATATTTTTTTTAACAAACAATATTACCAGGGAGGGGTGAATAAGCCTTACAATGGGGTAGAATTTCATTAACAAATCCGGCTCTTTTGTTCACCTATTGATTTATGGATATATAGTTATTGATTTTTAAATTTGATATCAAAGGTCTTGATTAAAACATTAGAAGAACATTCATCTATTCTTCAACTTGATATCAAATCTAAAAGTGAGTAATCATATATCAATAAGTGACCAAGTAAACATTTTTATCATCGATTGTACGTATCTCATGTTAAATTGCTATAGTGGTGTGTGTGTGTGTGTGTGTGTGTATATATATATATATATATATAGATAATATATACATGACTGTATACAACACATAATAATGAGAATTGAACAATAATAATAATTTTAATAATATGTTACTAGAAGCACAATTCATCCAACATGTGTTCTAGAGATCTTGGATCCGTCTATTGTATTTGTTCTATATAAAATTCAGTGAGATAAATCAAAGCTTTTTATAATTTTTTTAATAAAAAAACTAGCTGTATTTCTGCAACAGCTTCTTCTTCTGTTTTTCTATTATTCCTTTTTATTTTCTTTGTTATAATGCATGGTTGGTAGTTGGTTTTAATTAATTAGTACGGGCCCATGATATAATCATTCTTTATAGTTGATACCAGAACCAGCGACGAGTTGCTCTATATATATTGTGGTAGTGAGGGAAGAGGGAGGGAGGGTGACTACATCTACATGCCTGAAATTACCTACTTAACCATGCATCCTCTCTCTCTCTCTCTCTTCCTTGATGGATTCATTAGTAAACCAATAATATAAATAAACAACCAAAGAGGGATCTGGGATCCTAATTTGAAGGTGTACAAAGTAAATATACATACATACATACATACATACATAGATATATATATATATATATATATATATATATATATATATATATATCTATATTATCTAATGAAATAGTAGAGAATTACAAAAGGAACTAAATACCTGATAAAGTGGAAGCTTCAGTTTCTGTAAGCATGGCAGAGAATCCTCTAAAAGCATGATTATACTTGTGTATTACAGAAATTCTCTCAATCTCATGGCTGGCAGAAACAGAAACATGATATAATGTATTAATTAATGACTAATTGTGCAGAAAAATTAGATTAATTGGTGAAGAATTAATCCCAAAATTCATCGAGTTTATGCTGGTGATTATGATGTTCATGATGATTATGGTGATCATAACCTTGGAATAATGGATGACAACATTTGCAAGTAAGCTGATTCATCAGCTCCATTATCTCTTCCATTTCCATTTGAGAATGAACTTCCCATATAGACGACATGATGCTGCCAAATTACCAATGACATGTAAAAGAATTTAATTTTGAATATTCAATCATAACACCATCCGTATCCATTTTCTCAGCAACCAAACAGAGAACAAGATTAACCAGAAGAGAGTTTGGACACAAACCCATAATTCAAAGTTACCTTGGGAATCTGAGTTGAAGTAGTAGTGGCGCCAGAGAGAGAGAGGAGGAAGCAAGGTAGAGAGAGAAAAGGGAGGAGGAGTAGAATTAAGGCATTAGCCATGGAAGCAGCTGAGTCTGTGACTGAGAGTGCTTCTTCTCCTGATCAGTTAAGTGAATTGGTTTAGCAAAATTTAGAGACCAATATTGTAATTTTGTATTGTTTTGAAAGTTTTGCTTATATATGAAGTTATACATTTTGTAGGCTCAGTGTGAAGGGAAAGCTTTTTAATGGACTCATCAAGAAGCTTGAGCCATGAGCAAAGCATCTTTGATGCTTTTGTGGTTCTTAATACATATGCATCATAAGCATTCATTATTTTCAGTGAAATGCAAACATCCATAATTTACTTCTCAATTATTAGGTTATTAAAACAACATTAAATCCGCCTGATGTATGTCGATGTTCTTGTCCAAGACTCTATTTGTACTTTATATACATATAAACATATGTGTGTGTTTTTGTTTGGGTAAGTTATCATCATGTTAAAGTTGGACCATCCAAACTCAAACCTAGTGTATTTTTAACTTAATTATCTCTGTCTAGTAAGTTTAAACTTGAGATCTAATTTCATTAAAATTGGGTCACCGACCGACTTGTTTCACTTCAGCCGATTGGCACATTTCTAACTTAGATTTTTTGGCACATTTCTCTACTCTTCCTTGATAGAATGTGAATTCCTCAGGATGCAATCATTTAGTCAACAGGAACATGAGTATTGTATTTAAGAAAATTGATTATTCTAATGATTCTATTACATTCAAGTGCTGAACTAACCAATAAAAAATTTATTCTTAGAACATTTAGCCAGTTACCCTTATATTTTGTATTACTTCTTCCCATAAAGGAGAAGCCATACAAAAATATCATTTCAACTGCAGATTCCAACTTCTTTTGTTTTTCTATTTGGGTATTTTTTTTTTCCAGATTTTTTTTTCTAGTAAACTTGTATTGCAAGTAAACAATGACTCTTTTCATGTGCACCATTTTCTGTTCTTTTTCTTGTTTCCTTTATTCTCTCTCTTTTTCCCATTATTTCCAATTTTCCACCTTTAAGTATCTCAATTAAAATCTTTGTATATATCCCATTTTTTTTCTTTCTTTCTTGGTATTCTATTTTTTGTGTTTGTTATTTGATGAACGATTTTAGCCACCAAGAAAAAGTGCAGAAGAGCCTTGCAAGTGCAAGCACCATTACCGGCTTTTACTGCATCAACTTTGTAAACCAATCTTATGACTTTAGGAAGCGTTAATCAACATTATACAAATGAAATCGAAGTTTCTTAGCGGAATGCAATTACCCACCATTTGAGGGAGGACCAATCACGAATATAAGGATTCGAACATTATACAAATGAAATGAGGGAGGACCGATCACGATGACCATAATAAGGTTTGCACGCATAAACTATTATGTGTCATGGGTTGACTTAACAAATCTATAACCAACTAGCTCTTGGACTAGAGAAAGAGGGACCAAAGTTCGAATCCTGCCTCGCTATTAAACATCATACACAATACATGGAGATTCTCTTTATTTGTAGAACGTATTGAATTTATACAGAGTTACAACAATACAGTACTGAAGCCATCAGAAAATCTTCGGAAATCGTATTAGGTAAGTACAGAGGTGAAGTCTAAACATGAACACAATGTATTGCCAAAGTGGGTTTTAGGAAGACAAAGCAACAATAATGCAGATAAAGTGAAGGGCGGAATGAGAAGTATCGGAAAGACAATGCTCTGGCTCATCATATGGTGGATGACTCTTTTATATACAATACAACTGAGCGGAACAATAGCGCCAAACATTTCGTTCTTGAATGCCACCGCAGCAATCAATCTCCCTCAGATTGACTGTGCTAACGGAACTTTATTGCTTACCTAACCGAAGCTCATTAGGATATTGAAGCAAAGCTAACTTATTTTACTAGATCTCTGCGGTTCTTTCTTCAGGGGCAGAACCGACGTCAGATGTTTGCTTCTCCGCAATTTGACTTTTAAGGAACTCCATCACTGAAAGCCGCTGCAGTGGAAACAAAATGTTAAATCAATTCTTCAGGATCCAAACTATTTACTCAATGGAGTCAAGCAGGGGAAAATCTTACCCGTTGCTCAAGGGCACTCTCTTCGGATTTTAATGTCAAAGATTCCAACAATTTTATGCCTTCTTCAAATTCATCAACTGCCACATCCTCGTCCCCTAGATTCCTGTCAACGTCTGCAACTTTTGCAAATGAAACGGCTAGATCCAGAATCTGTAATTGCAAGAATAAATATGCAAAGCCAAAGTCAGGAACCACAGTGCATTTGGTATTAAATAAAAACATTAAACCATTCTTAATGGTAAATGTATTTCAGTAATTGACGAAGGGACTTAATTTATAACTACACAAGGTTCCATCGTTGGTATCTTTGTTTTTTCCTTCATTAGAAACAAGAGGGTTAAGAAAGTTAGAGAAGAAAGAGTTAGAGGTTGACATTTGGGAAGGTCTAACAACGACATTTGAAATAAAAGTCAGCTTGTTGAAGTTCTTCCATTGGCCTTTTGTTAAACTTACGAGTATTCAACTCGAAACCAATTGCCAATGGGCAAAAAGATAGAGGTAATACAAAGCTTAGAATGTCCGGTGTATGACTTGCTATTCTCAACATCTTCTTTTGTATTGTGGCCAAATTCAGCCAAACATGTATTCATATTGGATGACATAAGACTATAGGAGGTCAAATTTGCCAAAAATCAATGAAATTTAAGTTAAAGTTACAGCATTCAACTCAGTCAGAACCAACTGCAATAGTTTAATGGGTAAAAAGGCTTTGAACTTAATACATTGTGATGCAGAACTTAGAAAATCAGATATCGGACTCTAATCTTAACACCTTTCTTTTTCCATAAAACTAAACAAATCAACAAGAAGAAATAAAAATGATCTTATCTTTCTCTTATCCCTGCTCTCCCTTAGACTTAACAAATTGGTAATTTCCAACTATGATGTGAAAACACAAATTTTCTACCACTAACCAATGCACCTTTGTACTATTATCATATATACATAAACCGAGCAGGCAAAAGCCGCAAAACAGAAAAAAAATTCCTACACACGTTGGTCTCACTTATTACTCACCCAGCAGGACCACATTAACTAATGGACCATATTAATCAAGACACCTTTGCAACACAGGAATATTTACATCCTGTGTGTATGGTTTCTACCCCCACCCCATCTACATGGATGGCTGAAATTTGCGTAATTTCAACATAGTAAGGAAATCCCATAATGCTCCAACCGAATTTATTTATATAGATGCAAATATTTTGCATAAACAGGTGTTCCTACCAACAAAAGTTTCATTTTAGGTTAAGGGCCATTATAGTATTGAAGCAAAAATATTTGCTCAAAAAGACTCTACTACATCAAATAATTCACCCTCACAAGCTAGATATAAAAGTCTTCCCAAACAATTATTGTGCTTAAATATGAATATACAACCAACTGAATTGACCAGACCCAGCAAATCAATCCATTATGATAATCAAGTGACATATACTAGTATTCCAGATAATATCAACCAAACAGATACACATCCAATGAGCTAAAGTAGTATCAATACATTCCCAAGCACATTTAAATGACATTAATAAAAAGTGTATAGCATTTGTATTGATACTGTAAGTCACAAAAGAAACCTAATGACGACAAGCAAAAGATAGTTGCTGACCTGGGATGGAACATTTGGATCATGCTTGACAGCATCACGTCGAACATTCAACGACTGGAAGTAGTAAGATCGTGCAGATTTGAGGTCTCCGTCATAATATTTGAGATCTCCAATTTTATTAAGTGAAATAGAGAGTGTATGCATTATCTACAAAATTAAAAAAGGAAAAATAACCATATCAGGGAAAAGCACTGGTAGGACATAACGTGATATTACAGTAAGGGTTTGGATGTAATAACCTCCCGATCATTTCTTGGCAGTTTTGAAAGAAACTCAACACTCTCTTCAAAGTAACTGACTGCAGAACCAGCATCTCCTGTAGCCCGACTGCAAAAAAAAAAAAAAAAAAAAGATGAATTAGAGATCCACTCAAGTAAAAAAAAATCAGGGATCATTGTCGAATTACGCCATGAATATAGTAACAGTCTAGAGTCTACATATGCAGAAAATACATTAAGCAGTTTTCTCAATGTTAAAGATATTCTTAAAACACAGATGGTATGAATCAAAACTCATCTCTGACTTCTTACGAACAATCTAGTTATCCTCAAATAGGCGGCAAATCTTAATTGACAGTCTGATCATTTCTTACAGTGCATGCAGAGTTGAACATCCACAATGCCATCAGTCCATAGCTTCACTTTAATGACAACCATGCATGGTATTCCAACAATAAATTCATTTTTTTCCGAACTGATGGGAGAAAAAAAAAAAAAAGCAGTTATATGTAGTTTATGCATAGGTGCAAACTTATATATTAGGTTGTTTCATTAATAACAAGTAGAGAGATTGATTATTCTCTACATGTACTCATAATAATGTAGGGGTTTAATTATATGTTATATATTTTACCAGGGTATCCACAAATTTTATTATTATGGGATTTTACACAGGCTCGCTGTAGTAACGTTTGAGCCTTTGGCATATCCATTAAGAATTTAGACACTGACGTCAACCCTAACACTTCATATCTCTTTTTCTCTTGTTTTTGTCTCATTGAGTATTAGCATCCTTAACCTATTTTGGTCTGCCATCACCATACCATTAAATCATCACCATTCCATAGAAGCGAACCACCAACAAACCTTTGGATCCATTACACATTTTCGCACTGCAATCTATCAGATGTCATTAACTTGCCAAATTCCAGCCACTAAACTTGCTCTCAAAAAGCTGACACCGTCAACCACCGACCACCATCTTTAGTATGCATACACCACCATCTTTAGTTGCATGCATACACTACTATCCAAACCAAGACAAGTTTTTAAATTTAGTTCTTCCACTTTTTTCCTACCCAACCAAAGAAGAATTCAAAAATAAAAAAATAAATGTTTCCTCTATTCTGGTATTTCGCCTCATCATCAATTGAAGGAGTGTTGTTTAGGACCAAGTTCTTTCATGATGTGTTGAGTTTTCTTTAACATTGTATTGTTAGCATAGTTTCCACCTTTACTTAACTTGTATTCTTCCTTTTTCAATAAACTATATATTTAAAAAAAATAAAAAATCCAAGCCACCCATTACAGCAACTAGAGTCGCGGAAAAGAGGGTTCAATGGTCTTTCACTATGTATTATCTAAGGATCAATCCTAAAAAATCAAGTTAAGAGGAAAAAAAAAAGCATGTGGGACGGGAAGATGAGAATTTTATAAGGTGATCTCTCAGATACGTGAATTTCTTGAGAAGACTCAGATAATCTAAATATTATCTTGCATTGAATTTTCAAAATCTCCTATAAGAGAATGAATCGCATTGTGTCTTCATCTTTATGTGACATGTAATCAGTAAAACGAATGACCACTTGTGTTCTATAAATCAAATTATACAACTAGACGTATAAAGTTTATATTCCATCCAATATTGGTGATATGAGGTAGCTAGTATCTATATTCCATGAACAAAACTTTATACAAGTGTTGGATGGCCAAATTTGATGAAACCAATATTTGTGGTCTCTGTGTAATCAAATCACAGTTTTACTGTTTCATTACAACCTAGACAGATATATGAACACCGAAGTTTTTTGGTGGTGAGGCGAAGAGAGAAATCAGAAAATTTTTGACCTAGAGAAACAGTTTGAAAAGTAAAACTATGAAAACTCACAGTCCATAAGCACTCTAGGTTCAAATTCTAATCCTGTAAGGCTTTCCCCATCACTTTGGTATGCTTCAAAACCAATAGATTGGATAAAGGTAATGTGCTTAGCTAGTGCTAGTAACCACTGGACATATCTGCTATTCATTCTACGATCATGTACCAACAACATTACAGTTGAACTATTCATGTATAGGCTAACATACACCATCTTTCACTAACATGATTGTGTTAACTATCTAAATGCATACCATTAGGTAAATAAGTCTGATTCATAAAATGACCCTATAACAATGTTCTCTTGCCATACTTTTATCCAACAAACATAAAACATGTCAAGCTAAAAAATGCTATCACACATAGTACATGCTTAGTTGCTTACAAACATTCATTGTGTGGATACATAAAGAGTGTGGAGAGAGAGGACAAACCAGCAGTCGCCAAGCATCCCGAGAACCGCTCCAAGCTGAGAACACAACTCTGATGTGTTACCCATCGTTTCTAACTGACCTCTGATGTCTTCTGCACAAAGACTAAGTCTAGATTTGGCACTTTCTATATTCTGGGCTCGGAATGCCTGCACATTAGACAAGATATAACAGCACCAAAATTGAACACGGCAAAGCAAGAAAGAGAATGCAACACCAAGAAATCAAACCACAGGCGAAACAAACTCACCCTCATGGCCTGTTGCACCAAGAAAGCCCCTCTCTCCAAAGACACGTCTTCGTATATAACTCTCTTGTTATTCTTATCCTCATTCTTGTTACTGTCATTTGTTGAATCCTGATTATCCTCTGCATTATGAGACCTCTTGATTCGGGCATGGCCTTCAATGAAGCGATCCACCAAACCCTGAAGATTCGAGTCGGCTTCAATCTTCTCAATGTCAGCTCCACACAAAGGACAATCCTTGAACCTTGATATACAAGCTCTAAAACAACAACGCAATTGAAACAAAACAGGAAATTAAAATAGAATAAATTAAAACAAAATCTACACAATTAATAGGAACCAAACCCAATCCAATAAAACAAGTAATTAAATTGAAAAACAAAAGGAACCCAAGACAAAAGTATGTTGAAATGTTCAAGGGAACCGATCCAATTCGATGAAACAAGTAATTAAATTGAAAAACAAAAGAAACCCAATACAAAAAGCATGATTCAAAATTCAAAGGAACCAACCCAATTCGATGGAAACAAGTGATTAAATTGAAAAATAAAAGAAACCCAATACAAAACACGACAAAAATTTCAAAGAAAATCATCCGACTTACTGGCAGAAGGAGTGAGAACAAGGGACGCATTTGGCAGAGTCGAACATAAGGGCGTGGCAAATCATACAGCTGAGAGGGCCAAGCTTGAAGGTCTGAGAATCGTAACCCAAGGGGCATTTTGGGGGAATTGTAGCGGTGTCAGCTGAGGTCTCTTTCTTGCTTGGCTCTGATGGCCGACCGGCTTTCGCGAATGGGCACACTGGCGTCATCATCTTCTTCTTCCTTCCTTCCTTCTTCTTTCTATCGACTGTTCGAATTTTGTCGCTGCCCTTGCGATTTTGCTGCTAAGCTTTATCCAGCTCCAGGATACGACGACGTTTGGGTTCTGTTCAGTTGCTCTTGCTCGACTCGATCGTCTCGGAATTGTGAATGCTGGAGGGTGAATCGGTTATTATCCTCTCTGCAATTCCTTTCATTTATTTATTTCCACAAACACCCTAAGCTTTTTCTCAATTTATTTTTTTCTCCTTTATCTTTAGAGATATTTTGGATGCGGTCCCTAATCTTTAACATTCTTTGACTAAAACCTTAATGGTATTCAAAGTTTGATCAAAGTCCCTTGACTTTTGTACACCTCATTATATTACAATTAATATTTATATTTTTATAGTTTTGACATTAATTGTTTGATATTTTATGAGATTTATAATCCTATAAATTTAAAATCCTTCATTATAATACTATTAGAGACGATTACAATAAAAAAATTCAAACATTTTGATTGAATAAATTGATAAAAACTATGTAAAAATAAGAAATAATAAATGGCAAAAGAATGTATCAATAGTGTTAAAATTATTGGTACATTTCACATATAACAAAGTGGTACATTAATAAAAGAAGAATGGGTACCTTGTAAATAAATTAGGGTACAAATAAAAGATTAAAAAATTATGAGTATAAATGAATTTTAAAAAAATATAGGTGCTAAAAGAAATTAATACATGAGTACAAAATAAAACTAAAAAGAAAAAACTACAAATTTAAAAAAAAATGTTGCAAATTAAAAGTGGGTACAAACTATAAAGTACAAATAAAAAAAATATATGGGTACAAATACAAATAAACTTTAAAAAATATGGGCACAAAAAGAAATTAATATATGGGTACAAATTAAACTGAAAAGAAAATTGATACAAATTAAAAATGGGTACAAACTAAAACTAAAAATATATGATAATAAATTTAGTCATAAATATAAATATACTAATTGTAACATTTTTAACATTAAATGAATATATTTAGAAATAAAAAAAATATTTTATTATTGAAATAATTAATGATGTTATTAATACCCAAGGACTTTGATAAAAAATTGACAAGAAATAGGATTTTAATCAATAATGTAGCAAAACGAATGATGAAAACCTAATTTCTCCTTATCTTTACTTTTGTTTTTCTTAATTAATGCTATAACATAAAATAATAATAATAATAATAATAATAATAATAATTTGGTTGGGTATGCCGCTACAGAGCTTTTTCATGTACAATTTGAATAGCAACTTCACCCGTTTTGTTTAAGCAAATGATAAAAGAAGGACAATATCGTAGTAGACAGAGAAAGATGGGTGTGATACTAATATGTTGAGCTTATATTGCAAAAATATATATATTGAGCTATAAAGGAATCACAGTCCTACACTAGGCGGAAAAATTTAAGTGTAATATCAATATATAAAACTCATGAGTGTGATACTTATATTTAGTAGGTTCTAAAGTATGACTCTCACAGTTATTAAACTCACATTAGTGTAGCAGTAGTGTTATAGGTATCAAACTCAGGCTGCCTATATACATATAGTGTTGGAACCAAATTCAAGCACCACCGTCATAAGACGAGTGCTTGATCGGCCACTTGCAAAGAAGAACTAACAACCGTGAATTCCTAATCACCGGTGTGGTGTTGGCTGAAGGATTTCCATCGGCCCATCATCACCATTGTCTTAATGACATGACTTTCAAGGTCACACACTTGAATCCATAACGTCTCCACTACCTTACATTGGTAACATAATAGAATTGACAAATGTAAAAGAATTCGAAACGGCAATTCTAATTTACACTTAAAGACATCTTCAACTATTCATCATCAACGGAAACACCCTTTCTGAAGCATATTTAGGGGAATTCGAGGGGCTCATGAAATTTTCTAAGTCGGAGTGAGGCGGATCGGAATGCCCATGCCGCAAAAATCTAATTATGGATTAACGGCTCCGAATCGAACTAAGCCATCTAAATGGAAAAATTGTGCCACCACACCCTGTTGGGCTCCGAAAGGGTAAGCTGAGATCGACCATGCTTGTTATGCAAAACATGGAAACCTGATCCAACTAGGGTTCGGATTGGTTTCCTATATTTTTGGAGATTCCTACAATCTAGGGATTAGCATACACCGCAAGTAATCACAATCCTAAAAGAAGCAATATTTTATTTACATATCCTTTGAGTTTCTCCCAGTTTAATATGGATTTTATATCCTAAAAGGACCCTCTCCCGATTAGTATAAATAACCCATCAAGGGTTCATTTAGGGTAATGCTTTCATAATGCATACTTCGCTATCTTGCCTAATGCTTGACTTATAAGGTTTTTATAAGAACTTGACCATCGAAGAGACTTTGCGGGTACCACACCAATACATTAGGTTAATCATGGTTGTTTATTCTTTTGTGTAGTTGGTCGTTCTTGCATAATTTTCTATTCATAGGGTGCAAAAATTTGGTTGCAACAATTACGAAAGAATAAGATGAAGAAAAGAAGGATGAGGTTAAGGAAAAGCTAAACAAGAAGCACCTGAGGGTACTACACCAAAATCTGTATGGGTGTTACTGGATGCCGAATTTGGAATTATGACTGAGAATCTTGGAAAAAAGGGAAAATCTGTTAATGGTGTGGGTGTTTTCCTCGTATAAATACCTCTGGATGTGTTTCATGGATGTGGTTCTTCAATGTCTTCAAGTTTTGGGTTAACTAAGCTGAGACATATCACAATTGCAAGCTTTTTAGTTGCAAATCAGGGGTAAACCATCAACTACTCTTTGAAAGGTACTGATGGTGATTGTTCCTATCCGAACACTCTTTATGTTGAACATCAAGGCCGTGATATGAATGCAAGCTCAATTTTGATATTATGTTTTTTGTTGTTAGTTTCAAATATGCACATGATAGACTTCTTGTGTTAGGCGGAAGGAGAAGCAGCAACAGTCTAAGCCCATCGAGCTCAAGCTCTAGCCACAATAGAAGTAATGGAGGCCCATGAGGTTTAGAGTTTAGGGTTTAGGGGTGTATGAATAGTAGCATGTGAGAAATAAAGAAAAATTAACAAAAATAAATTAGAAAAACCTTAAAAAATAATATTTGAAAATGGGGGACCAGTTTAAAGCTAGCTATTGATACAAGGCTCTGTCGCTACCACCACAACGATTGTTGTTGGCCAGAGTCGCTACCTCGCTAGCGACACCTTTTGTGGACAATCGGTAACAAATTACCAATCGTATCCATTTCTATTTTATTTATTATTTTCTTTTTTTTTTCCATTGTATTTTTTTTCTTCCAACGTTACTTTGTTTAGATTCATATACCGTTAGATTTAGATCCTTGTTTTCAAGTGTTTTGACATGGATTATAAGAAAATGTTGACAAAAATAAAAATAACATAAAATAAATAAAATTGATGGTTTAAAGTCTTAGGCGGAAGAAGAAGCAGCAACAGCCCAAGCCCATCGAGCTCAGGCTCGAGCTGCAGCAGCAGCAGTGGATGCCCATGAGGTTTAGGGTTTAGGAGCGTGTGAGTAGTAGTGTGCAAATAGTAGTAGGTGAATAGTAGCGGGCCATAAAACTAACACCTTGAGTTCGGCGTGTTTCAGTGTCCGACGCACTCGAATTTTTTTTATGAATTTTTTTTTTTTTTTAAGAATGGGTTACTATGTTAAAATTGACAACTTTAGTGTGAATTGGGATACAATTTGTAAAATAAAATGAAATATAGATTAAAGTATTATAACATATTGAAATTAGGAAATACCCCAAAATGGGACAATTTCTTAATCTTAGGATAGAAATATGACATTGCGAATATGCACACGGCATGCACAACAATCAGACATAAATAGGATTTTTTTCTACACCTTAAAATGACCAAATTATCCTCCCATATTAATGGGTTATCTAGAAATTCCAGTCTTCATTTCTCATTTTGTAGAGTGAGAAACAAATAGGAGAGAGAGAGAGAGAAAAATCTCTCACCCAATTCCAATTCGAAGAACCCTAACCCACCCATTTTCTTCATCCAAGAGCTCTCTCTCTCTAACCACCCATCTTCTTCATCCAAGCTTTCTTTCTTTCTTTCTTTCTCCCCCTCTCTCCTCTCTCTACATTTCGAATATGCACAAGAGCTCTCTCTCTAACCCACCCATCTTCTTCGATTTTTACATTTCCATTTGTAGGTTTTGTGAACTGGGTTTGCTTAATTTTGCTTTTGATTGATGGATTTTTGGAGTTAAAGTAATTGGTTTGGTGTTTCTTGGAGGAGACTCAAATCCTTCATTTTTTATTTTTTATTTTTTTATCATTTCTCTTATTTATATGTGCGTTTTCATTTCTTCTGTCTTCTCCATCCCTCATGTTCTTCTCTCGATCCAAATTTACAAGCACTAAAATAGGGTTTGACTTTTGCTGCAATTAAATGAAAAAACGTATTAAAGGTCAGTTGCCTTTTGGAGAAGAGATAAATTTGAGGAAAAAAAGAGAAATCAAAATGGAAAGAAGGAAGAGAGAATGATATGGACGAAATTGGTTCACATACTTGTTCACTCTCTTCATATTAAGCTCGCTTATACATTGTATGTACACAACATGCACATGTTATGCTCACAAATTTGAGCTCAACCCAAAAACCCAGAACTCACAGCTCTCTGTTTAAAATCAGAAAAATGACGCAATCAGATATGACCCTAAACTTTATATGAAGAATCGAAGATTCATTAATTTGAATTTGGTATCAAATTTGAGTGAGTTCAAATATTTCAAGGATTTGAAAATTGCAGTTTGAATAGGCATGAAAGAACCCAACTGAATCAAAGGAAATTATTTCACGAACTTGTTCATTTTTTTCGTATTTGCAGGGTCTGCCTCTGAATCAAAGGAAAAAATAGTAAACTACGTCAATACGAAGAGTATCAAAGATGTAAATATGCACCATATACACTATATGCACACCACATGCACATAATATGTAAAGTACTTGCACATGATATGCATAGAGCGGGAGAAACTTTAACGACAACATATTGGTATAATGGATACGATTAAAACATAATTGTTACGTATATAAGGTTACAATGATAGTTTGAAAAGTCTTATTACTTATATTAACCACTACTTAACCGTGC